TTATTATTATGAGACAGTGTTTTGCTCTGTGGCCCAGGCTGGAATGCAGTGGTGTGATCACAGCTCTCTGCAGCCTCAACTTCCCAGGCATAGGTGATCCTCCCACCACAGCTTCCAGAGCAGTTGGGATTATAGAAATAAGCCACCACTCGTGGCTAATTTTTTTTACTTTTTGTAGAGATGGTGTCTCTCTGTGTTTCCCAGGCTGTTCTTGAACTCCTGGCTCAAGCGATCCTCCCACCTGTCCCCCAAAGTGCTGGCTGGGCTTACAGGTGTGAACCATCATGCTGGCCTTTTTGTTTGTTTTTGAGACAGGGTCTCACTCTGTCCCTCAGGCTGGAGTGCAGTGGCAGGATTGTGGCTTACTGCAGCCTTGAACTCCCAGGCTCAAACAGTCCTTATGCCTTAGCCTGCTGATTAGCTGGGACGACAGGCAGACACCACCATGCCTCGTTAATTTTTTATTTTTTGTAGAGATGGGGTCTCCATGTGTTGCCTAGGCTGATCTTGAACTCCTGGCCTCAAGTGATCCTCCTGCCTTGGTCTCCCAGAGTGCTAGGATTATAAGTGTGAGCCACTGTGTTTCGTGATATCCTATATTTTGAAATAATCCTGTCCTTTTCTTTTTAATTTTACCATGTAAGAATGCATCCCCAATCAATGTAGTTCAGTTTTGCCTGTGATGGGACTTTATCTAAGGGGAGTCATCAATATATTCTTTTGTGTTTCTCTTGATTTATTAATGAGGTAGATTACCTAAATTGATTTTCATACATTAAATCATGTTTGCATTCTCATCATAAATTCAATTTAATCACGATTGATCACTTTTAAAAATATTATTGGATTGAGTGTGATCACATTTTGTATAGGATGTTTACATCTGTATTTATAAGATTGACTTACTGCTTCCTTCTCATCTTCCTCACAGAAGTGTCGTGTTGAATGCTGGATTCACTTTCTAGAGAAGCCATCTAGGCGTGGAGTGTTCTTTCTAGGATGATCTTTGTTTACTGACTATAATCCATCCCTCCCTCCCTCCATTCCTTCCTTCCTTCCCTCCCTCTTCTTCTCTTTTCTTTTTCTTGAGACAAGGTCTCACTCTGTCTCCCAGGCTGTAGAGTGTGATGGTGCAATTTTGGCTCACTGCAGCCTCTGCCTCCTGGGCTCAAACAATCCTCCTGCCTCAGCCTTCTGAGTAGCTGTGACTACAGGTGCATGCCACCACACCTGGCTAATTTTATTTTTTTGTAGAGACAGGCGTCACTATGTTGCCAGGACTGATCTTGAATTCCTGGGCTCAAGCAATCTGCCTGTCTCGGCCTCCCAAAGTGCTGGGATTCCATGCTTGAGCCACTGCACCTGGCTTCTAATTCTTTAATGTTTGTGGTTTTGTCAGATTTTCTATTTCCTCCTGAGTCCGTGTTAATAGGTTATATTTCTTTTCTTTTCTTTTTAAATGGTGATTTTTGTGTGTGTGACCGGGTCTCACTCTGGTTGCCCAGGCTGGAGTGCAGTGATGCAATCTCAGCTCACTGCAGCCTCGACCACTCAGGCTCAGGTGATTTCTCACACCTCAGCCTCTGAAGTAGCTGGGATGACAGGTACGTGTTACCACGCCTGGCTGATCTTTGTATTTTTAGGACAGATGGTTTTGCTATGTTGCTCAGGCTTGTCTTGAGCTCCTGGGCTCAAGTGATCCACCTGCCTCAGCCTCCCAGAGTGCTGGGATTACAGGCGTGAGCCACCACACCCAGCCTAATAAGTTGTATTTCTCTTGGCGTTTCTTTATTTAACCTAAGCTTACGAGCTTTTTGGAATAAAATTTATAAAGCCTTTTATTACATTTTTAGTGTTGTCAGAGTTTAAGTGATAATTCCATTTTGGTTTCTTTTGCTGCCTGATGACTCACTCCCAACTTAGTGGCATAAAACAACAATCGCTTTATAATGCCCAGCCAGGTAGCCTGAGTGTCTGGAGCTCTGGTTCTGGCTGTTGGCTGGCTTTCTTGGTTCTTCTCAGACATCTTTCTCTGACTAGACATCTTTCTCTGCATGTGGCCGCTGTGATTTCTTCAGAGCATCTGAGCTGGCTCCCCAGAGACGGTATTCCAAGAAACAGGAAGTGGAAGCAGACATCCTCTTCCGGTGCAGGTCTGGACCTGGCAGTACCACATCCACTGCATTCGATGGGCCAGAGCAGTCACCCGCCTGCTTGGACTCACTGGGGGCGAGTGAGATCTTCCCACACAAGGACAGGAGAGTCACAGCATTGTGGCCATCAGGCCTTCCCGCCCTCTGATTCAATTCCAAGGCTGGTTAATTTTGGGCTTTTCCTCTTGTGTTCCCTCTCTGTGTTTCCATGAGTCTTGCCAGAGATCACTGGTTCACTGCATTGTCTTTTCAAAGAACCAATGTTGATCTTTGTGTACCTGCCATTATATGTAATTAATACAGGTTGAATTTCTTACTAGTTCCCTTTTTCTCTTTTCTTTGAGCTTACTTTGTTCTTCTTTCCCTGACTTGTTCAGGTAGGCCCTCTTTAATTTTTTTACTTCTATTCTAGTTTGAGCACCGAGCTATAAATGTCCCTCTGATGTACTGCTTTATCTGTGTGCCGCACAGTTCCGTATATAATCTTTTCTAGTTTTAACTTCTAAATATTTTCTGTTTTCTGCTGTGATTATTTTCTTTCGTAGAAGTATATTGCTTAACTCTCAAACATATGGGGACTTTCTAGTTATACTTGTGTTATTAATTTCTAGGCTCATCGTATTGTGATCAGAGGATGAGCTCTATCTGATTTCAGCCACTTGAAATATGTTGAGATTTTCTTTATGACTGGGATATGGTCTATTTTTAGAAGTGGCTCATGTGTCCTTGAGGAACTGATGTATAATGCACGTTAGGAGCAGTGTCTTGCTTGTGACCGCCATGCAGCTTGTTAATTGTGTTGTGCAGATCTTCCATCTCTCCTCTGTTTTGTTGTTTCAGCTGCTGTCTCTGTGACCTGCTCCTCTCCACTCCCTCCATGACAAAGAGACTCCGGTGTTTTTGACCATCTTTTGTTGCGCCCCTACTGTGATCTTAGTCACGGGGCCAAGCACTCTACATCTGTTCCTCCATTTAATCCTCACGGCACCATCTGCGGCGGGTGTTCCTTGTGTCCTCATCCTGTCCTCATAGGAGCAAGCCTGGAAGGGGCTGAGTCACTGTTCCAGTCACACGGCTGCAAGGCTGTGGTCTAGGGTGGTGGCCTGGACCCCTCTTTCCTGGAAGCCATGCTTTTCCTGAAACCCCTTGCAATACCCCTGGCAAGTATGACAGTTTTACCTCAGTTGGTATGAGTATGCTCAAATTAGAGGCAACCATTCTTGCACTTGACGTTTACACTTTGCAGCTTCCAGAACCTGCCCTGCGTATCACCTGCTCCCTCCCCAGGGTGGTTGGACTTCCCATGCAGTTTCCCATCCTGTAGGTCGGATTTCTTGGCCAGGCTTGCAGAGTTGGTGGGACGTGATGTGGGCACTAGAAGAACCCAGTTCTGTAAATCTTGATTTCATGTCCTTTCTGCTGTGTTTTTCTTTCTCTGTTTAGGCGGTGGACTTTTTGGTGTGTAAAGCTTCTAGAATGGATTTTACTTCTTTGTGGCTCTTTGGATTGAGAGAGAGGCTAGGTGCCATCTCCAGAGAAGCTTGCTTGGCTCATGCTCACTGGGGGGCCTTGTTCTCTGCCCACTGGGGAGGGGCTGTGGTGGAGCTTGATTTGGATTGAGTGGAGGCAGCGCTAAAGGTCAGAGGCCAACGTCCTTGCACTTCTTGACACTCTCCACCCAGGCATGCTGATTGGGACCGCTGTGGAGGGTGATTTGGGAACTTGAATCTGGTGTGGTGATGATGGGGGTCATTGACAGTGGGGACAGTTCTGGACATGTGGCCCTCATTCTCTGTGCTGGACAAGATGACTCTGTGACCTATAACTCCAGGCTGATAGAGCATTTTCAGTGACAGCCCATTTGACTTGGTGGTGCTAGTGCAGGACACAGGTGAGCCTGTCTCTGTGTCTTAGGTCTGTCCCAGCAGACGAGCTGACATGTGTTCTAGATGAATATCAACTGGCCACAGGTGGGAGGTTTGGAAGGTAGCCTCCAATCTCCTCTGAGGACTGCAGCAGCGACCGGGGCAACAGGAACGCATTGTGATGGCCTGGCCAAGTCTGCATAGCGAGAGCCGAGCCACTTTCACGCGCACCTCATCCTCCACACTTCACCTCCTTCTTCCGGGTTCCCACTCAGAATCCCACTCACCCCTGGACACAGCTCCCAGAAACTTCTCTTTGGAATTCTGCAGTGGAGAAACCCATTGCAGACTTCCCCTTCTTTTGGATATCAGTTTGCTTTTCAAGAAGAAAATTTTAATACTCCATAGTGAGGTTTTGTAAGTATATTACCATGTTGAGATATTTTCTCTAATGGCTTGCTGGTTGAAAACGCTTTCACACAGAGCAGAAATGAGATGGAGATACTGTTTCACAGCCTCTGCTTCAGAAGCAGACGGTGGCCTGTAGCTTCCAAACCTGGGCAGAGCAAGTGCGGGGATGGTGCGTCTCTGTACCTGGACTCACGTTCACATGCGTGCATTGTAGGGGCGTTTGCGTATTTAATTGTAAAAAAGGATGAGTACATGTGAAATTCTGCCTGAGGCTCCACTCCTCAGTGTGTGGCCTGGTGCCGCCTGTTGCCGAGATGTTGGACCGGCAATGATCTGGCTCCGTCTGTCGTGTGTGCCTCTCCCTGCTGCAGGCCGATGGAAGGAGACATGATGGATTGCGCGTATCCCCTTTACAGATTCAGAAGAATACATTTAAAATAACTTTAATTTGTATTTAGGAGACTTTTAATGGAGAGTATTTATTATTATAGAGTTCACTTCTGAAATGGTGACAAAGCTTTTGATACTGGATCAAACAAGTTTGAAGTAATTGAATCTCTCTGTTATGCAGAGTGGAGTCTTTCAAGCTATCATGGAGAGCTTAAGGGGCGACTGAAGGATATTGATGCTGGCCAACTGCAGAGTTCTAGTTACTTCAGTCCTGCTGAGATATCCTCTCAGTCCACTCGCACTGAAGGAAGCTGCCTTGGGATCAGAGCAGACATAAAGCTAGACAGATTTCAAGGTGAGTAAAAACCTGTAAAGATCTGATCAAATCTGACTGGTAGAAATGCCTTTTTCTTGATATAAACTGCTTAATTAAGCCTTTTGGCTTGCCTTTGAAAGATGCCTTATCGAATACTTCCCAGGACAGATGATCCGTTACTGTTGGTTCATTTCTAATTTTACTGCAGCCTTAGCTCACCCATGAGTCCCTCCTGCTGGTTCTGGGGCGGCGCCTGCTGCCCTCCGGTGGCGTGTGCGGCACCTGCTGCCCTCTTCGGGGTCAGTTCACCATTTATTGAGTCAGTGCTTCATGCCAGGTGCTAGACTTGGTGAAAGCCTTTTACCATCAATTATTATTTTCTTAGGAGCAATTAAAAGAAAATTTTCCTGTAATCCCAGCATGTTGGGAGGCTGAGGCAGACAGATTACTTGAGGCCAGGAGTTCGAGACCAGCCTGGCCAACATGACAAAACCCTGTCTCTACCAAAAATACAAAATTTAGCCGGGTGTGATGGTGCACGCCTGTAGTCCCAACCTCGGGAGACTGAGGCAGGAGAATTGCTTGAACCCAGGAGGTGGAGGCTGCAGTGAGCTGAGATCACACCATTGCGTTCCAACCTGGGTGACAGAGCAAGACTCTAAAAAAAAATAAAGCAAAAAAGAAAATTTCTTTAGTACTTGTTTTTGGTGACTATCCCATGATTCAGCATCTACTTTTGAGAGAAGTTGTGACAAATACTAAAATCCCAGTAAAATTAGTATGGTGTCAGGTTAATTTACTTATGAGCAGTTGAGTGACTAACTCAGGAAGTCCAGTTGTACATTTCCAAGGAAGCTTGTTCATGGATTCAGATGAGATGAGGGGAAGGAGAAAGTGTCAGAGGGCTGCTGCTGGCTTGAAGAACGCAGGTGTGCTCCTGTGTTCATTTGCTCTGTGGATATTGACGAGTGCCCACTGGGCCTCAGATGCCCTCTGGGCATGGCAGGGACCAGGAGCTTGCTTGGCAGCTTTCATGTGAGCCACTCACTAGACATGGAGGGAGGGGACAGACGTGTTCCCACCTGGGAGTTCTGGACGGCATGCAGAGCCGTGGGGAGGGAGCGGTCACCGGGGCGTGAGTATGGACGGATGGGAGTGACTGGGAGCCTACAGGGGACACTGTCTTTGGGGAGTAGAGACATGCCCATGTCTGACTACTGGGTTTTGAGTTTGTGCCAGCAAAGATCCTGCTTACCATTTTTGTCTATAAGTGTCAGGAATTTCAGGTAACGGGTTCCCTAGTGAGACCTTTAAAGGAGGTTTTATCTTCAACCGATGCTTTTTTTGGGGGGTACACAGGCAGTCCAAGTATGGGAAGGTCAAAATCAGGTCACCTTTATTGTGGCTTGTGCCAGTGGGATGGAATTTTATTTTCAGCCGTAGCGCTTCTTTTAGCTTAATTAGTGATAGGAAATCAACTTCTCTGTAACCAGAGGTTATTGAAAGAATGAGGATCCCAGAGTTGGAATGAGTCTGAAAGAGACATTGTGGTTTAATATTGCTAAGTTAAGTGTTGATTTGTGATTACCTATTTTTAACATGCCACAGAAGTAAAGCATTGCATTAATTATACCATATGTGTGAAATAGCAAGTATTTTTATATAATGTAACTGTGCATTGGAGAAATGAATTATTTATAATCCTTTGCACCAATAAATTGTTCTTAAAAGCATAGAAAAAGTAATCAGGCCAGAAGGAGATATCTAAAGCATGTGCTGAGAAAGCAAAACTGAAGAGCTGGAATTTATAAAATATTACGACATGATGAGTCACATCCCCTCCTCCTGATTCTGTGTCACTAAATGTTAGCTGCGAATAGAAATCGTGTATTTCCTTTTTTTCATAAAATAAGAGCTAATTTCGGCAGCAAACAGTTTGGTGTGTTGTTCTTTTCCCTTTTCAGGGTGGTTTAAATAAAAATAAATAAACATGAAAGATTTTGGCTGGAAAATCTTTGGAAACACGGCCATCCTCAGCCTCACTGCACTGCCTGGTTTCCCTCTGAGCCTCCCTCCCTGGTCCTGCCTTAGTGCTGTCTGTGCAGTGTAGCCACAGGTCGCACTGTAGGTAGGTGTGGGGTGTTATTTTTCGTTTTAGGCAGACTCATTGTTTTTGCCTTTCTTTTTGCTTGGAAAGACTGAAGTTGTTTCTTGTGTTTTTATACATGAGATTATCTTCTGAGGCTGGAACACCTTGGGGGGATACACTAGGTAGAATTTCTATAGTAATTCCCCTGCTCAAGGGGAATTGCTGGGGAGGGCTTCAGGAAACCTTGACTCTTGTTTAAACTTGGAAAGCTTTCTTAGTCTTTCTCATTGCCACCACACACCACATCTTCTTTTTGTAACAAATATTTATTAACCCATCTTTTTATTTTAAAATGAAGTTCATAGAAGATATTATCTTATATAATTATAGCCATATAATGTTAAAAAGCCGTGTCATGCCCAAATATAATATAAAGATAAATTGAAGATACAGAATAAAATACTTTTCTATGCCACTGAGTGAATATTTAGGCACTGCTGCTTTCCCTTGGACCACTGAGTGGAGTGGGCCTGTCAGTGCAGGCAGATACGGGGTACCGAGCCGGTGACCTGGAAACCATAAGCAATAGAGCTGAGTGGCATTACTTTCTGAAATGGTGAACCCTGAGGGAAGCAGTGTTCGGTCTTCCCTGTCTCTAGATAGTCTCTGTGTTTCTGGAACATTGAGTATGTGTTAAAAGTATAGAAAAACACATCGTGTGAATCCACAACTCAGCTGGGCCTGGGCTTAGAGAATTATGAACAGCCTTTCCACCTGCATGGAAGTCCTTTTGTACAGGACCATTCTTTGTTTCTGGGCTGGCCCTGCTCCCTCCAGGAGGTTTAGGAGTGCCCATGTCACTATGGCGCCTAAGCCACTTCTCACGTTGCTACCTGTTGCTACCACCGGGCATCGCTGCTGCCTCCTGCTCTGTGCACAGTGTGGTGTGGCCGCCTGACCGACTGGTCAGGAACTAGAGTTCTCTTGAAGCCTTGACTGAAAGGAGAAGTGAGGAGGGGCATGGAGCCCAGTGCCAAGAGGCAGCTGCATCTTTAGGGGCTAGGGCTTTTCACGGGGGTTCTAGGGGCCAGAAGAAGGGAGCCGTCATTCAAGGCTTACACAGTGTGGAGGTGCCCTCCCTGGGGTGTCCTGTGTGCTGACCTCTGTCCTGGTGCCTGGCGGCGTCTTGGTGCAGAGCTCCGTGAGCCTCTGCAAGGTTCTTCTCTGCATGGAGGTTCTGGAGATGGGCAGGCCGGGTGGATGGTCAGGCCAACAAGGGCCTTCGAATGAAGCACATTATTGTGAGGACACTAATTCTGGGTCCTCAGATATTGTGACAAAAACTTGACATTTTTCTTCCTTCAAAGTAATTTACTGACTGAAACAACCAACTGAGCAAAGGTGATGTTTTAGTATCTAAATATTTCAAAAGATTACTGACATAGAGTAAAAATTTGGCTAAGAACGAGAAGTCTCTCTGAATGTGCTTTTCTGGCGTGACCCCTGTCACCAGGAAGCTGTCTGTGTGGTGTTGGGCCTGATTGATTTGCATCCGCTCAGAGGCGCTCAGGCACATGGCGTCCTATTGGAAGGTCAGCAGAGGGGCAGGGGGAGAGCAGCTGGCCAGGTCAGAGGATTCATTTCTGTCTGAAGCTTTGTGAGGAACTAAGATGGCTTTTCCAGTAGCTTCTGTTATTCCAGAGAGTTTTAAGATTGCTTTTACTTGTTCTTCTACCCTGGAACTAGGAAGCCAGACCCAAGAAATGTATCCACACCAGGTTTTGCCCATAGTCTTTAAAAATGTTGAACTTCTTTAACTTGAGGCCCTCACAATTTTCTGGGCCCCCATAAAGTATAGAACAGGGACCAGGCCTGCTCCCTTGTGGGGCTGGGTGGGCATTGGCTCCACAGGGCACAGATCCTTCCTGTGGATGAGCTTAGGGGATGTGAGATTCACTTTCAGATGTGACACTCCAGATGTGGGATTGGTGGCACTTTTCTTTTGTCCAGTTACATCCAATTATAAAGGAGGACACATTCTTACTGAACCTATGCAATAAACTCCATTGTCAGGAAGAGTAAAGTGTCTTAGCATGAGTATTCCTGAATTCTGAAAGTTCAGGAGAGTAAGATGTCACCTAAACAGTGTTTTATTTCAGCTTTGAAAGCAGAGAGCAGAGTCTACTGGATTTAGGGCTAGAGATAGACGAAGAAGAAAGAAAAGGGGCTTCCTTGTGCGCACATTAGAAAATACACCATTAAAGAGAGTACTAACAATATTCCAAAGCCACAATCAGCATTTCTGTGCCAGCTCCTCCAGTCCTACTTCCTGTCTGCTGGGTGGTGGCTCATCTGTCAAGTTTTCATAGTCATGTGCTTCTGGGTGCAAAGCCATGGTGAGCCCAGCTCATTTCCCTGGTGGAATCGGACAGTTGTCGAAGGGGTGTCAGCCTCTGTTCAGAAGCCTGAGCCCCTGATTCTGTTCCTTAAAGTGTCAGTAGTTAAGGTGCCTGTATTGAGCAGGGCCTGCCGTCACATCTGACTGGGGGTGCTCTTCAAGCCCATTGGCTCTTGGCAGAGCTCAGTTCCTTGTGGCCATAGGCCTGTGGCGCTTGGCTCCTGGAGACTGCTCATAGCCCCTGCCCGGTGGCCCTCTTCCTAGCATGGCAGTTTGCCTTCCAAGGCGTCTACGCGAGAGTCTCCCCTCTTCCTTTCCTCTCTGACTTCTCCCATCCTTCAGGGTTTACCTGATCAGGCCAGGCCCACCCAGGAAAATCTCCCTTTTGATGAACTCAGTCAGCTGATGAGATGCCTTAATTGCATCTGTAAAATCCCTTCACCTTTGCCTTATGCAACACTCTCTCCCATCATGTTCACAGTTCCTCCCACCTGCAAGGCAGGGGAGTGTACAAGGTGTGTACCCCAGGGGCAGGATGCTAACACTACACTG